CAGGTAAATTTGAATATCACATATACGATAAATAAATTTTTAGTGTAAGTATGTCCCAAATGTTGCATGGAATATACTTATACTAAAACTTACTTACCATTTACCTCAAATATTTGACACACACGGCATCCTATATTGTGTCCAGCTCCTTCATGGCTCAGATGTGGAAACTGAGACCACAGCGGGAGGGACTGACCTAAGTCACATGGCCTGCTGGAGTCATTGCCAAGAGTAGAACCCGGCTTCTACCTCCTTTGGGGTTTTTCACCTCCGACTGCCGAGATGGCAGAGGCACCCAGCCAGGACCAGGTGGCACCCTCCGTTCAGACCCTCCCACCCCATCTCCCTTCAGCGTTATGGCTAATGACTCCACCCTGCCCACCTCCCCAGGAGTCCCATCATGGCAGAGCCTTACCTTCAGCCCAGCCTTCTTGTCTAAACTACTGCGTCTCTCCTGAGCCCATTCATGGCCCTGCCCTCCACTCAGCTTCTGTGAAAAGGGGAGAGGATGGAGTCCCAAGGTAGGCACGCCTCTCACAAGCTGCAGGGCCTTGAGCAAGAGACTCCATCTCTCGGATCCCCAGTTCCCTTATCTGTAAAATGGGTGTAATGTTGCCTGCTCATAGGGCTCCAAGGCGGCCTCTCTGTGCATGTGAGGGAGCTTGGCAGACTCACATGTGCTGGGAAATGCAGGCTGTTATCATGGCTCAGCGTTCGCTGCAGTGTCATCGGTGAAGGCTGGTTCTGTGGGAGGTTAAAAGGTGCTGTCAGGAAAGTGGAGAGAAGGGTCTCTGTCCTCAAGTGGAAATGCTGGATTAGCAAGGTTCACCAGGGACTTCTCAGCACCTTTAAGTTGCCAGTGTATGCTGTGAATCTCCAAAACTGAATTCTCAGCCTTTTCCAAATGTCTTTGGCCACAAAAACCTTTTGGTCAAGGAGTTCCTTGAAAGATTGAGTGACAAAAGCTGATATGGTCACCTTCAAGGGGGTACAACCAAGACGGTTAATGCCTAGCAGCCTCTGGAGATTGAGTGGCAGCTTCACAGAAACAAAAACACAGACAGACAGACAGTCAGTTTCCTTCCCAGAGTCAGACTGGGGTCCTCCTCATTCTCGCCTCCTTTCCTGCTCAAACGAGGGCATAGTCGAGACTTTTGGAAAGCAGGTTTGCTGCACCCACGATGTATCAGACTGAACCGAGACGGGTGGCGACCCCCTGAAATTTTCCTGGCTGTTTACCCCAACCCCAGGGAGGCAGACACATTTACACACTCACTACACACACTCACATCACTCATTCATACACAGTCACACTAACTCACAATCACACACTCTTCACGGTACTCACAAATTCACACACACTCATAGATACTCAGGCATACATATATTCTCACACACAAATTCACACACACTCATGCACACTCAGATACACACACCAAAACACGCACACACTTATTAGTGTCTTGGGTTTTTCTGGATAGATATCTAAGAGTGGAATTGCTGGGTCATAAGGTAGTTCCATTTCCAGTTTTATGAGATACCTCCATACTGATTGCCATAGTGGCTGCACCAACCTGCAATCCCACCAACAGTGCACCAGGGTTCCCTTTTCCCCACAGACTCGCCAGCACTTGTTTATTGATTTATGATGATAGCCATTCTAACTGGGGTAAAGTGCTATTTCACTGTGGTTTTTATTTGAATTTTCCTAATGATTAGTGAGGTTGAACATTTTTTCATATGCCTGTTGGCCATCTGTGTGCCTTTGAACTGTTTTTTTGTTGAACCCTGAGTGATACACCATCGCTCCTTGTGGT